TACTGGAGTCAGGTYATAAATTGTGCGACCAGTAAAATAATTTTGCACCTGATTGGGATATTACACGAAATTCGATATCGGGTTGAATAAAATCTGGGCTTCTCGTAAATCAAGAAAKGAACAATTGTTTTTCTTTAAAACGCCAATGTTACTTGGTAAATAAACCATTTTTACTTTCAATCCAACACGTAATCTAAAAARACATGTTATTGATAAAATATATGCTGTAGGTAATAAATATACAGGGGTGGTGGACTGGCCAGGTGTGCTTGTGAATCGGGTCAATATATGAGGCGCACGGGAGGGGGGCCTTGAATGGCTGTGCAATTGACGATAATACTAATACATATTTTATTTTAAATACCAAACAATTTAAAACCATGAATATTTTGAACTAATAAGCATAAGTAATATACGATAATTTCATTATCGAACCAAACAGTTTATAATATTACAATATAAACATTAAACAGGGTCGGCTTAAACGAAAATAGTGTAATAGGCAAAATCAAATTTGGATACCATTCAGTAAAAGAAATTTTTACAGTGTATTAATATAAATAACATGGGTAATTTTCTAATAAATAATTATTAATCACCATATAGGTATAGGATACAACATAAATAAATAAAAAAATTTAAAAATTTAAAATACTTAGGTATAATAGCATAAAATGGTCAAAATATTTTGAAAAATATCTCATGTTTATTATGTTTATTAATTTCTAATATTAATTCTTGGTGCAGTAAATTGTGAAAGTTTTCACGGTTTGATATTCATTTTTAAATTAATAAAAAAAAAATTGGTTTRGCGTAGAAATTCTAGCTTTTAATTATTTYATTGATTTTTCAGGTTTTTCAAATTATTATTGAATTTTAGTATTTTAGATTCTGAGCGAGGCGATGAATGTATTGATTTTACAATGAAGTGTGGATTTTTTTTTTGTGTCTATCATCACGATTTGTGGACATTATAAATGCTTTGATTTTTTAACAGCATCTTTTCTGTCTGGAAAATAAATCTAGTTTTTTTGGTCTATATATACTATTAATGATATTATATGATGACAGACCGTCTTCCCTCAGGATCATCTTTCGTATACAATAAATGTATACCATCGAATTCAAATTTAACAAATCCATTACCTACAGTGACTCTCGTATCTCTACCCAATGTACAGCAGAACGTTACCCACTTACCAATTTTTTATTGTTGTTTTTTTTTTTTTAATAGCCCAAGTTTCCAATTAAAGATTCAATTTGCTACAAGTATAACTACCCTCCAAATAGAAGTTCAACAATTATTTCTATTGAGAGTGTCTGACAAATTGTATTAAATATTTAGACAAATTACAATTCGACACACACAAAAATAATCAAAAAAATWAATAAAAATTGGAATTATACATGCGACCCTCTAATTGATTAATAATTGTTTTGAGGTACTTAATGGATAGCATCAGAGCTTGCGCTAATGTGCAGTTCATAAAATTTTGTTKTCCGGAATTATTAAGTGGGGTGTACATTTTAATATTTTATTACCTATCATGGTCGGGCGCTCCTTATCTTACCGACCATGGTAAGTTATTTCAATGGTGTGTTTCCAGATGCTACAAACAAACATCACTAATTTKAGCATAGACTCAGGGGCGCCGATGTATTTGGAAACACCTATGACAATTTTATTTTGAGTCAATAAACCCACACWTCACTAGACCCGCTTACAAAACAAAAATAATACTCTTCAAAACAATATAGAATAGTTAAGGATCTATTATTCTATTCTGCATGTGGTCCCTATTTTTCTTAACATTATAGCATAACCCACCCATTTCTTTACATATGACAAATGTCATAGGCAAAACCTACTTTCGGCGTCCCCGTGATTAGTGATAGTAGTGATACTGATGATGAAGAGRTTGTCGCAATAAAATCGAAAAAAAATAATAATTTTAAAATTAGATTAAAGGAATTTTTTATTTAAATTATTAATATCTTTATGCATTATGAGTTATGACGTATAATATAATATAATTTAATATTTATGATAGTACCTATGTATTGTTTATTATATGCGAGCGAAATGAGCATCAAATTTTTTCACTTCTATAAAACAAACAAGATGTGCAGCTCTAAATGCTCTAATAATATTTCCTTAGCGMAAGCTCTGGATAACATAGTGATGATTTTTTATCCAGTGACCAGCTTTTATATTTTCAATTAAATACAACCATAATTTATTTCATATTATTTTGAGGATAAGGCACGCGCTGATCAATATTCAATACTATGAGGAATATTTTATTATACATACACATATTATACAATATGTATATGCCTCTAATTAGAGATTTACGCATGATGAGCTTAGTGTGGATTGGTATTGGGAATTGGGATTTAAGTGCCGGCTTCAAATATCTAGAATAACATTTTAATGTGAATCCGAAGTGTTTTATTATTATGTGCTCGACCTTGCATCAACAGCATTTAATTTGATWATTATTATTATTTAAAACAAACAAAAAATTAGTTCACTCAGGAGTTTGTTAAATCTCACCTTCTATACATTTTCTGATCGCACGTGTTTAACCGATAATTTCAGATCACAACTCGGTAAAAATTAGAGATAAACGAACAAAATATAATCATTCTATATGTATAGTAACAGTTCGACGTAACTGCAGAATAAATTATGTTGGTCAGATAAAAATTAAAAATAATTAGACGATTGCCAAAGAAATGCTAATTATGTGCTCACTAATAATTGGCCACAGTAATTTTTAAAATCTAGGTATATATAAGAACTTGTCTAACATGTCTACTAAGATAATATTTTGTTGTAAACATTATAAACATTGCGGTTGGTGAGAAATTAGAATATTTTCGTCAAAGCTWTTTTTCGTATGATATAACAAATGGATTCTGCAAGAGGCGTACGATAATGTGTTCCCATGAAGTAGAAATAATTATTTTTTGAGTTTTGCACTAACGAACATTAAATACATGACATTGGCTTAGAACGGAAAAAGGGGAATTGGGCGATGGCCGGTATCATTAATTTTTTTGTCGCAATTAATAGAGAATAATAGGAATTGTACTATATATTTACAATAATTCCKATAAATGCCTACTATTATTTTATATTTGAACATTTTAATATAATGTTAATAAATTTTCTTAGATTTAGGTAACAGTTTAATTTATTACCGTTGAGCAATACTATTCTTATAACACCAACGCGTAGGTATTGYTGTGAATTTATAATGTATTCACGTGGTCCTTTTTGTTACTTCTACTTRCTAACAGTGAAAGAATAATTTTGTTCAAATTAATTATGTTTTGTGGTCCTAGTTACTATATAATGTATTGTGTTATGTATGTACAGAAATGTGTTTACCTAGCGTAATTGAGGTTTTACATGTTTTTTTTTTATCAAATATCTTTGATTATAGTGTAATTGACAATCTGGAAATTAAAAATAATAATTTTAATAATCAATAATACCAATAAATTTGACTTTTGGTTTGAAAATAACATTTTTAAGTTGTTGTTTTTTGTATTATTTGTTGGTGAGTTTAATGTAATAAATAGTACCAATAAGTATACATATATGGCAATACAACGATAGTAAAAAATAAGATTTATAAATAACTGTTATCTTGACAAATATTTTATTAAAAAATCTTTTTATCCACATTTTATTATTGCGACTCTTAAGAAAAAAATTTATATTGTTATCTTCATTTTGGCTTGTTTTTTATGTATAAAAAATTGAATATAAATTTAAGTTTTTAGCGCATTCAACTCATAGAACGTATATTCACTGTTTATAACCAACCTATATGAGAAGCGAATTAGTAGTGTATAAGTTAAAAAGTATAATTAGCGTAGTAAACACTTTTAAAGGTTTCAAGTTATTATTAGAGTTAACATTATTTTTGTTTATCTCGACTGTCGAGGCCAACTTGTTTATTAAAAATAAATAATAATAWTAACGCTTTCACAGCATTAAATTAATATCGTAAATATTTCTTTTATAAATTTCTTATAGTTGATTCATAAAAAATATGTGTTGATTGTATTACTATTATTAGATATACATGAAAKAATTTTTTCATTCGAAAACTTATGATTTTCCACATATTCAGAAGCCATATTAAAATACTTAAGTGCATATTCATGAATACATAATAATATGTTATTTGTTCATTCGAATTTTATTAACAAAACACTAAACTTTTTATAATATAAACATAATAAATCAATAATTCTACTTAAAGAATATCTACAGCAAAAATTAATTGTTCATTCGTACAAAGTTATTGTTGATTTAAATGATTTAATTATTGTATATCATCATTGGAAACTCTGCTGTACTTAAGAATAATACTTCCCATAATTTATTACTACGGTGGTTTCCAAAACTTGATAATCATCAATATATATTATATACGACATCGATTTGTTATCAAGCATACAAACATTTTATGACTAATTAAACAAAACTGAAAGGTGAAAGTTAATAATTCACTTGAATCATTTCTTAAAATGTTTACCCTGAATTTGAAAATCATTATTCTTTAATACATAAAATAAATAACTTCGTTGTGCATAGCAATACAACCATTAAACGTATAAAAAATATTCGTTTTAATTTTCGATATATTAAAAACAATCGGTTATAAAAATATATTACATAATATTAGGTACCTATAAGTATTACTCAATAGTATCATTCTAAAAAATACATTCGCGGATGAAAAACACAAATAATTTTTACTAACAAGTTTACACCTATAAACTTTATAGTCAACACAGTTGGACGCAATTTTATTAAACGTTTTAGAGGAGTCCAAGTATAACAGCCTCTTCCACGAATTGTGCCTACGTTAGATAATCGTGAATACTTGTCCTCGTTTTATGTATATGATAATGATAATAATAAAAATAATAGTAGTAATAAAATATAATATTATGTAAATCATTCGTACACGATAATTAAATATAAAAAATTACGTTCAAAGTCACATTTACGACAAAAATAATAGATTCAGTCTTATATAAATAATTAAAAGTTCACTAAATTACATCAAACAATAGAGATTTTGAGTGCTAATGAGTGGAATGGAATTGTTGTGAAGATCGTTAGTTCTTGAATGATGGTTGATTCCTGTAGGATTGCAAGAATTTCATGGGTTTTTCTTTTCCAGACAATGCTTTGGCCACTTTAGATTCCGTACTTTTTCCCAGCTCTTCGCAAATATACCTGCCAGCACCCAATAACAAGTCCATGTCTACGCCAGTTTCGATGCCCATTCCTTGCAACATGTACACCAGATCTTCGGTGGCCACGTTACCAGATGCACCTCTGGCATACGGACAGCCACCAAGACCGGCCACTGAAGAGTCGAATACTGAAATTCCCATCTGGAACAAAAAAATAAAAAATAATGTTGTATTACATTGAATGATAGGATGTGTAATTATAATATTGCTACTGTCGTTCCCGATCTGTGTGTGTCCTAAACTTATTTCTTGCTTGCTTTAATGACAAGAATCTGCCCCCCTCAAAAAAAAAAAATCTGCGGATTAAAAATCTCTGAAGTAATAATAATAGATTGAGATTATAATCAAATTGAAAGCAATAGATAATCATAAAATATCAAATAAAAATTTCAAAACATGCTAAATTAAATGTCGTTCTTGAAAAATTAAAATAGTACCTACCTATATTATATTCATTCTATTGAATCAAATTTATGTCTCATTTAATTTGTATTTAAAATTCAATTTACCGATAGGAATATTCATTAGGTTCATAGCCCTATTGAAAATATATATGATTCAGTAGTATTATTTCAATTGTACAAAATTAAATTTTCTTAGAAATTGAAAAACCACTTATGAGTTTATGCGACGCATGGTTATAGTAAATAGAATTTAAAATAGTTTGATAAATAATATAATTTTCTCATTTGAGAGTAGTAATAAAATATATATAATATATTAAAGTGTATCCCAAAAGTGTAAATGTCAGGATAAGTCAAGGCATTGGAGTCAAGCTTTTAACTAATTTCACCAATTCGAGAAAACGGGGTTTATTGTGCGTACCTCCAGAGCAGTAAGTATGTTAGACAATGCCTGTCCATAAGTGTCATGACAATGAAGAGCCAAATTTTCAGCCGGCACCATTTCCATGACTTCTTGTAACATTGCCCTAATTGTGCCCGGTGTACCGATACCGATTGTGTCTCCGAGAGAAATCTCATAACAGCCCATTTTGAAAAACGCGTCAGACATCTAAATATTTAGAAAAACACAGTTTTATTAGTCAGATATTTTGATTTATAAAAATAATAATTTTACACATTAAATTAAATAATAATAGGGTAAGACTTAGTGTTAAAAATGATCAGTCCATTATTCAATTTTGAAATTGTCATTAAGTGCTTGTTATAAGATAAATTTAATTTTGAAAGTGTATGAAAATCTTTCGAAAATCGTATAAACAATTTGTATTAATAGACTGCAGTTTAATGAAACATATCAGTTAAAATATTCTTCTATCTAAGGAATGTTTAATTCATTATTGTGTGTACTTATAATAGCTGGTATGTATATATATATGTATGATGACGTGTAAACTACCTTGGCGACATCTTGGGGCGACACGGCACCGTCGTACGGACATCCGCACACACAGGAAATATATCCGCGGACTTTGATGCCGTGGTCCAAAGCTGTGGACACAACGTCTTCGAACCTCTCCAGGCTCTCGGCAATGCTGCAGCCAATGTTCTTTTGGCTAAACCCTTCGGAAGCGGACCCAAAAACGGCGATTTCTTTTACGTCGTGTTGCATCTGAAAACGACCAACCAGGATAAACAAAATATATCATGCATCGAGTAGGTCAGTATATTAGTATACGTACAGCTGTGAGTAGACCTCGCATGTTCGGAACCAGCACCGGATACGACACACCGTCCACTTTGTTGATCTTGCTGTACACGTCTGAGTGGTCGGCCATCTGCGGCACCCATTTCGGCGAAACGAAACTAAAACCAAAAAGAACAACCGTTAGGTTAGGTATTTTTTTTTTTTTAACGCGATAGTCAATAAACAGTACTACGCCGTATATATTATTCGATGAATTATAATAATACGGATAGTGCCATTTATGGTTACTATAGATTACACAAAAAAATTCACGTTATACGGTCTAAATGATGACTATAATTGGTATTAAACACTCACCTAGTAGCTTCAACGTTTTTAAGACCTGTCGCAGACAGTCTGTTTATGAACTCCACTTTAACGTCTGTCGGTATGTTTTTCGGTTCGTTCTGTAGACCGTCTCTCGGTCCTACTTCAACAACYCGAACTTTTGTTGGATACTTATGAGCGCAATTCACCGCATAGCTCTATAAATCAAAGAACGTATATTTTTAGTTTAAACTCATATTTTTTTGCTCCGAGCATAATGATATGTAGCGCGTAAAACCAAAAAGGAATTTTATCAAGAAATTTATATTTATATTATTGACACATAGGTCAATTTAATATCTATCGCCAAATGTTTAAATTCCACGTAATTRATATTAAATATTATTTCTACATATAGGCGGTTAKTTGAACATGATATCAAAACCAATTATTTAACAGTCATTGACACATAAATCAATTGTGGAGTGATATTACTTGCAAGACGCACAATGCACAAATAAAGTAACAGTATTTATGCATTCTCGCAATATTATTGCCAAACACGAGGAACAAACGACTATTTTTCATACTTATATTAGAAGTAAAAATCAGTATTTTTTGTTAAAGTGAAAAAGTYATGAACCTGATCAAGGTCAATAGAACCTTAAAAAACATATTAAGCTATATTTTGGAGGTCACATCTCACATGATGGTTTTGTTTGTTGTTGTAAACTAACTGCGTATTAAGATTAACAGTATAAAATATTTTACTTTAGATGCAGGAATTTAAAAATACCTATATAGTATGTATACTATACTATATCTCGTTTGCTTGTACCTGTTCAACGAATGTCGCACATCGACATTGGTAATTATGAGTGAAATAAAAATATAACTACAGTTGCTTCCATGGTCGCATATAAATAAATAGTTCCAATAGTAATATTAGCCTATACAAATACTGGTTTTTTTTTTAAATATATATATATATATAATATATAGGTTCATAATCCATTTTTTGGTAGATTTACAGGGGTTAGTGGGTTACTTAACGATATTGAATTTGATTTAATCGATCGAGACAATAATATAAGTCAATCGTTCCGTATAAAACTAGTATATTAGGTATATATATGTATAACTTTATTGGAGAATTATTGTATATTAAAAGCGTACTGCATGTAAATATTAAATACGTATGATAATTAATCGAAAGTCAGATTTTTATGACTTTTATTTTTTTATACCTCCAAGGTACGAGGTAAATACTGAATAATATGTCTACGCATAGCTGAGTAAAGCGTTATTCAGGGTAAACGAGATGTGTTTCGTGGTTTGTTCATCAACAAAATGTATAGATATTTTTATTTTTAATCCATTAAAATTATGTGGTATACTTAATTCTATAATTTGAAGAAAATATTATTATTATGATTTTATGAAACATGAAACAGTTGTACCTACAGCCGCGTTTTATATTACAGGTATGTCCTGGTAGTTACAACAAAAGACACAAACCGACTAGACGCAATACGGTCACGTTTTTCAAGTCAGCAATGCTAGATGAATGAAGTTAAGTAACGTGCGTGTCCGAAAATCGATTTTATATTTTTACATTATTAAACAGGTTGTATGTATATAATATTATCATGATTATGTTGTGCGCATAATGTCGTAACTAATGTTGCATTTTTTTATCATAAYAAATAAAAATATTAACGACACGCTTTGAAAACATTTTATTAAAAGGACACAAAATCATTATAAGTTTTAGTAGTTTTACTAAAATGAGTTCGTCATTTAGTCATTTTACCAAACACGAAATTATTATTCAATATTATAATATGATAAATTATATAGATATACGATGATTCAATTTGTTCAATATTCATTTTTGCGAAACCTTATAATGGACATTCTTGAAAATATTTATTTAATCGTTCAGGATCAAATATGACTTGTGTAAAAAGTATGATAAAAAAATTAATCGTTTAAAAGTTTTATCACTTGAAAGTTCAAAGAATTGTTAATTCATAATAAACGTTCATTTTTTACAAGGAAGTCGAAAAGGTTATCTTGAAAAGCATAGTTTAGATACAAGAACTTCTRCTTAACTTATTAATAATATTAGCCATTAGATACTCATATAATCACGTGAAAAGATGACACTTCAACGCTTTTACGCTGAGCGCAGTGCACAAACAGATTTCAAGAATACTAATGATAATTTTATTACCTATATCCTCAAAAGCAGTTGTGTAATGGTAATTTACACACGATGACTTCAGACTTGTTAATTACATCGAATGTCTTAAGAGAGCTCTCGTTACGAGCACATTAGCAAATACTAAAAATTGTATACGAAAAACTTATGACGGTTAATTCTAAATATAATTTATAAGGATATGATTTCAAAGAACATGACAACGACATAATTATTTTAATACCCAAAAAGTCGACAAGAGCTTGTTGATTGCCATTGCAGTCACTATTATTCTTAGTATGTAAATTATTACYATCAACTACCAAGTATTTTATGCTATATAATATGTGTAATTAATAATTATACATAATTCATAATAATTACAAATTCGTAAACTAAAGCAACACAACATCCAAATTGGTACTGTCTACTACAATTCAAAATTAGACGAAATAAGTATTATTTTCTATAAATGCATCACTATGTCTAGAAAGTTAATAAGTAAAAGGACCACAATATACAACATTACAACATTTGACGTTTCAGGACAAATTTAATGCATAATATTGACTGTTGAGTGTTGACGGTTATTGGTATCAATATTCAATATTCAATAATTATTAAATGTTTTCATAATATTGTATTATATCATAGTCTACTATAATATATAATTGTATCATAATCCTATTATAGTCTCCATTAATACTATAGACTACATTTTTAAAGTTTTTGAAATCTAACTTAATCTGTCTAACTTTCTACTTTTTAGACACACTATTTATAAATACTAGATTTTATTTCCACGTTCAATTATTATCATTTTATCGATATCGAAATGAACAAATGATTCGCATGATTAAAATAAGGTTATCTGTACAGACATTGACCACGTGTCTCTGGATCTTTATCAATCACTGATATCAGTTTCAGTATTCTTTAGAATTAAACATAAAATATATTTYTTAAAATATTAATATTGTCTAACATATTGTATTAAACTTATGAAAATATTTAACAAATTTCAAATGCATGAAATAATAATCATTATTTATGATCCATAAAATATAATAAATATTTTTGAAGAAGAAATGTTAAATAGTTTCTGTCTGATCTACACATAGACTAGTTTTTATTTTTATTTTGTATTTAAAAACTATTTAGATTGTATGACTATGTTAGGATGAGTTAAAATTATGTTTTGTTTTCTTGTCCTGTAAAACTTAGCTGAATGAAAGAAGAAACGAAGATACAGTATATTATTATGTAGTATATGAAGTATTCATTATAGTATAGTTAAGATTACTTGTCTCAGTGGACTAATCTTGATGAAATTCAAATSAATTTGAAACATTTCCAAAATTATGAACATATTATTTGCTTTTAGATAGTAAGAACTTAGTATATTATGTATATGTAAGTGTACGTGAATAGTGCACGAAATATTATTTTGTTGGACAATCTTGTGTATAAATAGCCAATAGAGGTATAAACAATAATTACAGTATGCCAATTGGCCATTATAATATGTAAATATACTATATTATAGTATGTTGATTAGATATGTAAACCATGTACCTAGTATCTATGTTATCTTATTGACAGTACACATAACAATAAGTGAAAATGTTTACACGACAAATTATTATATTTGTTATACTTGTACAGTTGTACATATAATTAGTTACCTGCATAGAATATGAGCATAGGTCGAAGTTCATGATACTGTGAACAGTGTGAACCAAACTACTGTCTAAACATATAAAGAAGGACGAATATTGTGCACATATATTTGAAATGTATGTGATAATATTATAATAGGTACTATGTGYTATACTAATGTTCAGCTATACATTTAAAAAGAACAATAATAGCAACATGAGCTTTTGTTTGATATCGATCTGTCAAGGTCCGAATAAATTCTGAATAATTGAATCGTATTCACCGGTGGCCACGGCCCACCACGATACCTGTATAATTAGTAATTACTATTATACCCATATTATTATCTTACGCTATTTCCCAAGGATTTAGAGATACATCACACACACACACACACACACACAACAAGTCCATCGTTAATACGACCAATGATTACGAGTCATATTATGATATTGGGATAATATTTTGAGACGTATTCACGTGAAGGAGATTCAGATACGCGACCTGCATCTATGTCGAGTTCAAAACCCAAGGATGGTAGACATACGGCGATAGGCTTGATAATCATAATAATATACCATAATGGCATAATATAATATGTTATATCATTTTATATTATAATGGGATATATACAATCTAACCAGAGCAATCTAACATTGGGTTCTATAACCAGGKWATAATAATATTATTCTCCGATCGCGCCAACCTTGCCGATCGTACGTTGTATGCCCGACGCCCGTACACAACTCGTATCTCACACACACACACACACACATACACACATCACGTTTTGTRCATTATAGCGTTGGCGGTTCGCGTTGGACGGAATGAATAATTATTATTATTTCTACTGATGCATAATTTATAGGCACAACGGTTTGTGGCTTTGCGCACTGTGAAATGTAAATAGCGGAAAAACAGTAAGCACCGAGACAGTTGTCGTCGGCTTAACGAGAGGCTTACAATTATTATAATATCATATTATCTGTATAAGCACATTGACTGGCAATAATATACTTGTGTACCAGCAAATAGCCCCGTAAATGGAGGCCTTCAAGTTTCAGACAAACTAGTAACTACCCAGCAGTTTTGTTATTTCGAATACGATTGGGCGTGCTGTTTTTAACCAATATACAAACAAAAAGAAAGCCAATTCAAAARTGGGCTGTAGTGACTACAGTGTTCATAAATCGTATGAGTATACACTGGAAATCAAATCGTGCCGCGTATCGTCTCGTAGTGATAATAATTCCTATTSGTGGACGAGTCGCGAGRCGAGAATACGTACCCTAAGCCTGCTCGATTCGTTTTTGAGACTGCTGTAGATGAACTTGGATACGTCGTTGACGAAATGCATCGCGGTGTGTACGCTGTTTGTTTTCTCGCACCGGGTGAGCAAACTATTCTGGTTCGACGACGATCTTTGTAAGTATATATAATATTATCTATATATATAATGCAGGTGTAYTCAAATATAAACCGACAATAATGATATTTTACTATGATTTTATATTATTTACTGTCTTATAATATAATATAATAATATTATGTTTAACACGCCCGCACGCAGTTAATTACAACCACACCGGTGGAATAAAACAATAATGAACTGTTGCAAATAATAACAATAACAGCTAGGCAAATCGGGAACGGGGCCGTGCTCGAGCAGCGCCCAACAAATCTCAACTAAGCGAATACTGTTACTGACTGCCGGTCGGCCGGCTGTTGGGTCTTTAACGACGTGCGCCGGTACGACGGAGGTGGGCGAGGGCCGAAGGGGACGCGACGTCATCGCGGAGAAGGGGTCTCGGCGCCATCGACAAGTTTCCGCGGAAACGTAAATACTTTATRAAAATTAATGTATTATACGTACGGGTAGGTACGAATAGGTAGGTATTGAAGAGCCATGGCCGAACAGACAGATAACGTAATATTATATTTATTGTTGTTGTTATTATTATTATTATCATTATTWTAAATTCGTATTGTGTGCGTTTTGTGTACAGTGTACGACGAGTGGCGAYGGTATATACTATATAGTAATAAAATKTCGTTGAACGGTACATGCGAACTCTGTTAGAGCTCGTAGCAAACACCGTTCAAGGTCGACCGATCTCGACGAATCGACGAGAATAATATAATAAATAATAATAATATATTATAAACAACAACAGTAATAATAAAACACTAAGGCGTATTATTAAATTATAATATTTCTGCGATGACTAGAGTCTAGACTAAGGAAACCAAAAAAGTATTAGCGAGTGTTAAGTGGTTTGGGAGACTAGGTGACAGATTTAGGAGGTTCCATGTTTCAAACCCTCGCCTTTAAAAGTCTTCTCGTCATGTTATGAGACATTTTGATATAGGTAAATATAAGGATGGTCATCCGTTTCCATCAAAACAATATTATATTATATTATTCTATTCTATTAAACCCTGTGATATAGTAAGTTTATTTAAAATTTAGGTAAGTAGGCACCTATTCAATATTGATAAATAGTGAATTAMACATTGTAATTAAATGATTTCATAAAAATAATCAAGCAAAAATTATAACTATGTATCGGTTACGAAGTCTTCAGTAAGTCGAATACTTCATATAAAAATAAAAATGTTATTATATTATGTATAGTAAAGTATTAATTATGTTAATTATRCTATTATTAAGTAATAATTACGCAATGTTAATTTTTTTTTCAATAAATAAACATATGTATGTAGTTCTATAACTTTTTAATCTTTTTTTTAACTGCTACATATAGGCATTTTTAACCATTTTTTTTAATACAGGTTTTTTATTTTGTAACAGTAATACCAATAACAATAATAATTCTATAAATAAATKTRTGTTATATAAGTAAATATATTATTGATAGRAACGTATCGAACACACTCACGACTTTGGTACAACAGTACAAGTACAGAGTTATAATATTATGATTGTTAAATAAATTATTTTATTAAGGTATACAATATTATATTGTTATTCTATATTTTATGGTATTTTAAATAAGTTTATTGTATTAGCTTTTGATATTATATAATCTGTTTTGATAGAAGTGAGTATTGGTGAAAAAGTGTTTATATTAAAATTTAAAGTGTAAACTGAAGACTTACCTATATTAATTTTTAGTATAATTAATGTAATTTCTTTACGTTGCAATTTAAATAAATATAAAAAAATATATTTTTTTTTTTTATTAGTTTTTAGAGCATTGGCAATTATGGCYATTTGAATTTTGTGGAGAGATACGGTTGGTTTTAAGCAACACCTATGTGGGACGAGGATTCGTCACTAAAATCTCGGGTGGTCACCCATCTGGAAGTTAATGACGCCGGACTGTGGTAGCGACTTATGCCAACTGCCACACCACACGATATAACCTTTATAAATTACTATAAGCTAAGAAACATCCTTATATGAACTTGGTTTTTTAAAATAATATTCAAGGGTTCAAGACGTTTTCCATTCTATATTAAAAATAACATGTTGCATGTTTTTGTATATTTTAGACACAGGCATATAACTAAAAAATATGAATTTATATACTGATATAATATAAATTAAAAAGTATGGCATTTCAGTAAAAAATTAATTTTCATAAATTCGCATTATATAAATATATTTTAAACACTGAGCATAAAATTATTTATTGAAAACTTTCAAACCATAGATATCATTGTGAATTTATTGTATAAATTTATTTTAGATAATCTCGCATGTTTCAGAAGTGCAGATATTATAAAGTGCATATTTTTCAGCTCATGTATTTGAACACAGTTTTGAGTTTTAATTGATGTCATACGTGTATGTTGTTTTCCAGTGCATTCAATTCACAGCCATGGGCGCAACTAGGGGGGGCTTGGGAGTGCTTAGCACTCCAAAATTTTCTGTACCGATTTTTTACATTATCGGTGACAGTAACACTTCTGATTTTAAAACAAGGGGGGGGGTTCTCGTATTGTGCTTTAAATTTTAGCACTCCCATAAATTTTACCCTAGTTGCGCCCATGTTCACAGCCCCGTTTATAACTAATATTGGGTTATATTTTAGATCATCCAGCTAAGACAGCAAAAGTGCAAGACCTACTGAAGCATACACATACGTAGAGATTTGAATAATTATTAGACCTAGAAGGAAAATTAAGTTCATCGTAAAATGTTAATACATTAGTACATATATTATAACATTAAAAAGCTACAAGGTAGCTAGCTACCCATCTTCGAATATCCTCTTTGCAATATATACGCTTATAAATGTATTGTACAATAATAAATTTCTTGTATATAATCGAGTGCCAAACATGACGTGATGTGTTTATCAACTGAATGAACAAAAACAAGAAGAAAATGGGTTGCTTGTGCAGTTGTGCGTATTGACTTGCGCCCTGCGGGCATTATTATAACACGTTGCCAGGTTGTCTCGTAAAATGTAAACCTTATACAGAGTGATTCAACAAGCATGCTCATTCCCATTTTTTCTTTATAATTTAATTTATTCAAATTCTGATTGTTAGTGTTTTTTACTTCCTTAAAGACTTTTATTTGTCCAACCATTTAAAATATCTTACGAGTTATGACAATACAAACTTATTATTTTTCAATTGAGTACCAACCGTTTTTACTGGCAATTATGAAACGGATAATTGCAGTTTTGAAAACGCAGTTTATATATCTTGATTACAGGTAAAAATAATCAGATTTTGAGTTATTAAAATATTTATACTCAAAAATTCACAAATTATGATASTCCTTAAAAATTATTAACACAACAATCAAATAGCCTGTGTGCATTTGCCTCCTCTCGTAGGTACCTCCAACCAATMAATGMATTTTTATAATATTGCTTCTACTTCTGCGTGGCTATTTGATAGTTTTAAGTCAAGCACTGAATCTTCGACGTCGTCGTCAACTTCTTCGTCAACGGTAGTGACATTAAAAATAATTTGATCGTCATTTAAAATTTAAAATCCTCCATATCATGTTTATCACTTTCTAACYAATCCGTTACTTGTTTCGTTGGTAATATTTCACTATTCAGTACATTACAAGTTGCACAATTTCTTCTACACTAACAGTATTAGATTCTTCAGATTCGAACGGTGTTATTTCAGGCCATAGTTTATTCCACCCATTCTTTAGGTTTGGTACAGTTAGATCAGCCCATGC